ACACACGCACACACACACAGACACACACAGACACACACACACACACACACACACACACACACACACACACACACACACACACACACACACACACACACACACACACACACTCACGCACGCACGCACGCACGCACGCACGCACGCACGCACGCACGCACGCACGCACGCACGCACGCACGCACACACTCACACACTCACACACACACACACACACACACACACACACACACACACACACACACACACACACACACACACACACACACACACACACACACACACACACGCGCACGCACGCGCGCACACGCACACGCACACGCACACGCACACGCACACGCACACGCACACACGCACGCACCCACACACACACACACACGCACGCACGCGCGCACACGCACACGCACACGCACACGCATATACACACCCACACGCACACGCGCACACACACATACGCAACCGCACACACGTAACACAACTCACAACGCACACCACGCACACACGCCACACACCAACACCACGCCACACGCACGCGGGCACGCACTGCACGCACCGCACGCACACACACACACACACACCACACACACGACAACACACACACTCACGCACGCACGCACTCACACACGCACGCACGCACGCACGCACGCACGCACGCACACACGCACACACTCACACGCGCACACGCACACGCACGGACACGCACGCACACGCATGCGCACGCACACGCACACGCACACACACACACAGACACGCACACACACACGCACACACGCACACACACACGCACGCACACGCACACACACACGTACACACACACACACGCACACGCACACACACACACGTACACACACACGCACACGCACACGCACACACATTCACACACACATTCACACACACATTCACACACACACACACACACATTCACACACAAACATTCAACACACACACACACACACACACACATTCACAGACACATTCACACACACATTCACACATTCACACATTCACACATTCACATTCACACACAGAAACACACACACATTTGTGGTAGAGGTCGCGGCACCGGGGGCGTGGGTCCTGGTGCGCCGTTATATGTATAAGCCGTGACGGATACATCGGACGCCCTTGCTCCACACCTCGAACAGCCCTGGGCGCCCTACAGAGATTGCCTCGGAACCCTGCGCTCGTCGTCGCGGCTTGGAGGAGGCACCGTGCCTGCGCTGTGGATCACTGCCTACAGTCGGTGGAGCATGTTGCCAGGGGGGAGCGGATGGCCAGACCATGGCGACGGCGACGGCGACGGCGAGGGCGGCGGCGGCGACGTCAGCTGCGACAACGACAACGACGGCGGCGGTGCCGACGGCGGCGACGTCGACGACGACGGGGCTAGCGAAGGCACCGACAGCGACTCCAGCGGCGACGACAACGGCGCCCGCGAAGGCGCCGACGACGACGACTGCAGCGAAGGCGACGATGGCGACAGTGATGATGGCACACGCGCCTGCGAAGGCGACTGCGACGAGCGTGGCGACGGCCACGACAATGGCGGCGAAGGCGAGAGCGGTGACGGCGACGAAAACGGCGGCGACGCTAGCGTCACCACCATTGTTGTCTGCCCGAAATGCCGGAACGCTTCGTTTCAGTGAAAAAGTAATGTTGTAACGCACTTCATGGGCTGCTCGGTCGCGCTTCCCTGGTGCAAGACATGTTGAAGCGCTATCCTCAGGATGCTGGAACGCTCGCTGGGTAAGAATGTTAACGCTGGAGGGTACGCCGTGGACTGCTGGAGCGCTCTCGCTCGGTAACTCAAGGGAACGCTGGAAAACAAACCGTGGTCTGATTATTCGGTCAGGGCGCAATGCTGGAGCGCATCCGTGTTGTCGGCATGGGCTGCTTGAGCGACGTAGCTTGAGAGTAATGGGGCGCTGGAGCAACACCCCGCTTAGGGCTTCACAAAAATACCACCGGAAGGGGGACGGAGGGAGGGAGTGAGGCGGCGAGGTGCGGGTGGCGGGGTTCCCGACATTGTGCTCGCGCCTCACTCTCAAAAGATCAAAGCGCCAGCATCGCCGCAGAGATACCTCGACATATATACACACAAGCATCTGAACTCAATATCCGCCAGCGAAAGCATGCAACTGGCTGGGCACTGGGGGGCATTCGCAAACAGGGCCATGGACTGCGCACGGGGGGCCAGTGACTGCCCCCCTTCGATGGTGTCATGAGCACAGTCCTCCCTCCAGGCAGTCCCTGCGTGAGATGGCGCACCTACCCGAGAACGCAGAAAAATAACATGTGGTTGAGACAACCGTTGATACTATGCCACCTGCAAGCACACTCTTCGGGTGGCAAGGAGGGCGATACCTCCCAACCATCCTGCAGAACTGAGTCTTCGTGTTGAATCAGCAGCGCCCCGCGTCTCCCCCTCTTATCTCCTCTTCTCCTCCCTCCCTCCTCCCATCCCTGGCCCTGCCCTCCGCATGCACATGTTGGCACACCCCTCATACGTGTCGTGGCCTCAAATGGAGCTCCACCGAGGCCCCCAAGAACGGTTTTTGCACGTGGTTCTCCACTTCCCTCACACATCCCGTGGCCCTATCGTGTGGTTATCCACACACGCAGGAGGGGGTGTCGCATGTGGTTCTCAACGCCGCTCGCACGCTTCGTGGACCCATCGAGTGCTCCACCGAAGCCCCACGAAGAGGGTGTTGCATGTCCTTCTTCACACCCCTCACACGTTTCTTGGCCCCGTAGTGAGCTCCACCACCGAAGCCCTCAGAAGGGGGTTTTGCATGTGGTTCTCAACGCCCCTCACACGTTTCGTGGCCCCATGGGATCCTCCACCGAAGCCTTCAGGAAGGGGTTGTAGATGTGGCTCTCCACCCTCCTCACACGCTTCGTCGCTCCGTAAGGGGGTTTTGCGTGTAGTTCTCCACCCCCCTCACACGCTTCGTCGCCCCATAGGGCGCTCCACCGAAGCCCCCAGCAAGGGATTGCGCATGTCGTTCTCCACACCCCTCACACGTTTCGTGGCCCCATCGGGAGCTCCACCTAACCCCCCCAACGGGGGTTTCGCATGTGTTTCTCCACACCCCTCACGCGGGTCGTGGCCCCACAGGGACCTCCACCGAAAGCCACAGGAGGAAGGTTTCTAAAGATTCTCATGCGGTTCTTCACCCATGTCGACACAACCTTAAACATTCCGTGGCCCCACAGGGGGGCTCCGTTCAAGGCCCCAGTGGCGGCGAATGCATGCAGCTACGCACCCATCTCTTTACACCCCTATTCGCTTCGTGGCCCCATAGAGAGCTCCGCCGAAGGCCCCAGTGGCCGCGTCTGCATGGCGGCACCGCGCCCATCTCTTTACACCCCTCCCACGCTTCGTGGCCCCATAGAGATCTCCGCCGAATGCCCCAGTGGCAGCGTCAGCATGCTGGCACCGCACCCACTGCTTGACACCCCTCACACGTGTCGTCCTCCCCCGTTCTTCGCCTCGCCTGCCTCGCGATGCCCGCAGCTGCATCAGGTTGGGCCCTCCGCCAGGATGCTCACAAGTAAGCAAGGTGTGGGAAGGGAGGGGCACCACTCTCGATTTGCGATTGTCTCGTGTCTGTAGAACTTTCTGCTGCTCATTCGTACAGTCGAAATCTACAGTAATGACGGGCGCCAAGGACGCAAGGGCCTTGGCCGCTGACGCTGGCACTTTTTGGGCGGCGGACTGCCAACACCCTGAAAGACTGGTCAGTGAAAACTGCGAAAGACGGGCCGCAGAGGCAGGGACTCAAAGGCACCCTGGGGATATCCGCGCGTCCTGACTATGCGTTTTGACTGCGTCCGCCACCGTACAACCGAGGCACGGAGTGGTCAAGTCTCTACGAGCCCCCTGCACTCAATACTGCCACTGTTCCTTTAGGGGCCCACGGCCAATAGTTCCGGGTGCGTCGTCGAACTCAGCGTCGTCGTCGTCGTCGTTTTCGTCCTCGTCGTCATCATCATCGGCCTGGTCGTCGTCGCCAGCCTGGTCGTCGTCGTCGTCCTCGTCGTCCATCGTCGTCATCGTCGTCGACGTCGTCAACGTCGTCGTCGTGGTCGTCGTCGTCGTCGATGGAGTCGTCGTCGTCGCCGCTGTCGTCGTCGTCGCCGCCGTCGTAGTCGTCGGCGTCGTCGTCGTCGTCGATGGCGTCGTCGTCGTCGTCGTCGTCGCCGTCGTCGTCGCCCTCGGCGTCATCGTCGGCGTCGCCAACGTCGTCAACGTCGTCGTCAGCCTAGTCGTCGGCGTCGCCGTCGTTGTCGTCCTCGGCGTCATCGTCGGCGTCGCCGTCGTCGTCAACGTCGTCATCGTCCTAGTCGTCGTCGTCGTCAATGACATCGTCGTCGTCGTCGGCCTAGTCGTCGTCGTCGTCGTCGTCGTCGTCGTCGTCGTCGTCGTCATCGTCGGCCTAGGTCGTCGTCGTCGTCGGCGTCGTCGTCCTCGTCGTCGTCGGCGTAGTCGTCGTCGGCGTCGTCGTCGTCGTCGGCCTAGTCGCCGTCGTCGTCGTCGTCGTGGTCGTCGGCCTAGTCGTCATCGTCGGCGTCGTCGTCGTCGTCGTCCTCAAAATCATCGTCGTCGTCGTCGTCGTCGCCGTCGCCGTCGTCGTCGTCGTCGTCGGCCTAGTCGTCGTCGTCGTCGTCGTCGTCGTCGTCGTCGTCGTCGTCGTCAGCCTAGTCGTCGTCGTCGTCGGCCTAGTTGTCGCCGTCGTAGTCGTCATCGTCGTCGTCCTCGTCGTCGTCGTTGTCGTCGCCGTCGTCGTCGTCCTCGGCGTCGTCGTCGTCGGCGTCGTCGTCAACGTCGTCATCGTCCTAGTCGTCGTCGTCGTCGTCGTCGTCGTCGTCGTCGTCGTCGTCGATGACGCCGTCGTCGTCGGCCTAGTCGTCGTCGCCTACGTCGTTGTCGTCGTCGTCGTCGTCGTCGTCGTAATCGTCGGCCTGGGTCGTCGTCGTCGGCATCGTCGTCGTCCTCGTCGTCGTCGGCGTAGTCGTCGTCGTCGCGCGTCGCCGACGTCGTCGTCGTCGTCGTCGTCGTCGTCGGCCTAGTCGCCGTCGTCGTCGTCGTCGTCGTCGTCGTCGTCGTCGTCGTAGTCGTCGTCGTCGTCGTCGTCGTCGGCCTAGTCGTCGTCGTCGTCGTCGTCGTCGTCGTCGTCGTCGTCGTCGTCGTCGTCGTCGTCGTCGTCAGCCTAGTCGTCGTCTTCGTCGCCGTCGTCGTCGTCGTCGTCGTCGGCCTAGTCGTCATCGACGTCGTCGGCCTCGTCCTCGTCGTCGTCGTCGTCGTCGCCGCTGCCGTCGTCGTCGTCGTCGTCCTCGTCGTCGCCGTCGTCGTCCTCCTCAAAATCGTTGTCGTCGTCGAAAGCCTAGTCGTCGTCGTCGTCGGCTTAGTCGTCGTCGTCGTCGTCGTCGTCGTGGTGGTCGCCGTCATCGTCGTCGTCGGCCTAGATGTCGTCGTCGGCCTAATCGTCGTCGTCGGCCTAGTCGTCGTCGTCGGCCTAGTCGTCGTCGTCGTCGTCGTCGGCCTAGTCGTCGTCGGCGGCCTAGTCGTCGTCGTCGTCGTCGTCGTCGTCCTCGAGATCGTCGTCGTCGTTGTCGTCGTCGTCGCCGTCGTCGACGTCGTCGCCGTGCTCGGGGCGGCGGCGCGTCGCGGCCTCAACAGCCCCGCGCCGCCACCGGCTGGCGCGGCGGGCGGGCCGGCCAGAGGGGGGGGCTCCTTGGCAGAGCGCACGGCGGATTCTGTGCGTCGCTCATCAATCATTACCGTCGTCATCATCATCATCATCATCATCATCATCATCATCATCATCAGCAGCATCAGCATCAGCATCAGCATCAGCATCAGCATCATCATCATCCTCATCCTCATCCTCATCCTCATCACCATTACCAGCACTATCACCATCACCATCATCACCACCACCATCATCATTATCAGCATCAGCATCATCATCACCATCAGGAAGGGGGGGCGGCTCCTCGCCGACTGTGCTGCTCGACAGGCGGCGGAGCCTCTGCGCCAGCGGCGAAGGCTCCTGGCTGGGGGGGGCCGCCGCCGCCGCCGCCGGGCGGGGGCGGTCAGACGCCGCGGGCGGACGAGGCCGGACCTCCCGGCCACGCGGAGGGGTGGCCGTGGATCGCGGCCTCCTGCGTCGGGAGCGGCCAAGAGGGGGGTGTCCAAGAGGGGGGGGGTGCAAACCATGGCCGGCGGCGCGTGCGCGGCCCAGCGGGGGGGCCAGGGACGTGAGGAAACAAGAGGAGGCGCCGTGAAATCTGGGGAAATATCATGGCCCCCGCCATGATATCCACCCCCCCTAGTCATCACCCCCCTCTTTTCCGCCCCCGACTGCGTCGGCGGGGTCCGAATCGACGAGGCCGGAAGACCGCCGATGCCTCGGCGATGCGTCGGCGGCTTGGGCGAGGCATCGGCGCCGTCGGCGTGGAGGAAGTCGGGCTCCACATCGGGCCGCATCGTCGATGCATCGCCGATGCGGCGCGGTCCTCCGACCCCATCCACTCGGATCCCACCTGGGAGGCCTACACCCTGCGAAATGCTTAAGAAATCATGGGTTAAGAAATTCATAGTCTCAGAACTTGAACAAAAACCCAAGATTTCTATCAAAATCTTAAGATTTACATTGAAACGTTAAGAATTATCGAGACTCTGGCCGAAAACTTAAGTTTTCTTAAGCATCGCCTGAGGTGAAATGTGGAGAGGTGGATGCTGCAGTGACAACTCACGGGAGCCTCCCATGTCAACCTGCTGGCGGTTGCGGATCGACACGACACGACGCTAACCGACGCTAGACCGACGCTGATCGACTCTGGATTGGCGCTGTCTCATTGGTTACCAGACGCTAGAGCACGCTCTAATTATGAGGAAATGATGGTAAGCCTTGCGCGGCAACTTGAGGCCCAATGTACATCGGTTCCACGTCGGATTCATGTCGGATTTGCGTCGGAATTGAGTTGGAGCTACGTCGGACTTACTGAAGGGGCCCTGGGGCACACAAATAATTACACACACATCAAAATATTCCCAATCTTTTCCACTATTTGGGGGGTATTCGTCTTCCCCCCACTTCCCATATTTTCTTATATTATCTGGGGATCGACGATTCATTGTGTCTGTGTGTTTCTTTCCCTCCTGACTTACGTCGGAGCATCGCCACGCGAACGTCGACCAGCATCTTGCGGAGCGGGCGTGTGGACCAGATGAAGCAACTATTGCGCGCCGCGCGGGGCCTCCGGGATCCTCCTCTTAGCGCTGGTGTTCGGTGGTAACTCATGGGAGCCTCCCATACGATCTTGTTGGCTCTTGCGGATCGACGCTCGCCGACGCTACCCCATCGGTTAGCAGACGCTACTCAACGCTAGGGCACTCAAGAAAGGGAGTGACGAGGGTACACATACAAGGCTACCATGATGCGCCACCGAATCATAGCGCGATTGCACTCCAGAGACGGGAAGACACACAGGGCTCGCATAATGTGTTGCCGAGGGAGGTCACCGACGAAACAACTGCATGAACAAACTCTTTCGGAGGTCCGCGTTGTTTTCTTGGGTCGGCACTAGACCTTCCTGGCGCGCGGAGGGCGCCAGAAAAGAGGGGTCCAGCGTCGTGCCAAGAAATACGCACGCAGCTCTAGAAAGGTTATGCTTCTGTATCTATTTGTTATACGTTATACGAGGCCCAGCGCAGGTCCAAGCAATCCGCGCGGACTGTCGGAAACTCACGCTTGTGCCGCTCTCTTTCTCTTTTCGACGCAGGGCTCCTAAGGCGTGCTGCCGAAGGAACGACCCTGCAGCCCCGCCCAGGCGGTGCAGGCGTCCTTCCCTGCCATCGCAGCGGCCTCCGTCGGCTACAGGCAATGGTGACCCCATAGGAGCGCACGGCCAGACCCTCTGGGGACTCCACCAGGCGCGCAAACCAACAAAAAGCCCAGCCTTCTCCGGGCGGAGGGGGGGGGGGCACGGTTTGCCCCGGGGCCGCAGGCGACCCGAGGAAGAGGAGGAGGAGGAGGAGGAGGAGGAGGAGGAGGGATTGGGAGGAGAGGGAGGGGGAGGGGGAGGAGGAGGGGGAGGGGGAGGAGGAGGAGGGGCAGGGGGAGGAGGATGATTCCAACATCAACCGCGGATGAACACCCACGTCCTGCCCTCCTGGAAGTGGTAGAGCAATATGATCACGAACTGCACGAACGGGAGGAGCAGGAAACCGTCGCATCTGCTTCAATCCGCCTCGGGCACTTCTGGGTGGTGATCTCTGGAACTGGTACCTGCGCTGAAAGTTGACGACGAGCCACGGGCCAGAACGCGCCGCTTGCGGCTGCCGAGCCGCTGTGGGGAGGGTTGCCGCCTGCTGACATGTTCACGGTCGGTCAGCAGATCGTCGTCGAAGTCGGCAAACGCAGGTCCAGCCCCACCCACAGGGCCGTTCACCGAGGGGGGGTGGGACCCCACGGTGAGAAACCTGAAGCCGCCAGCGGCCACGTTCTGTCTACCTACCAAACCACCCCAACCCAACCCGAAGACCCGAATTTCGGGTTTGGGGGGGTACGGGCTTCATGTGTTTTCTCGACGTTCCCCGACCCCCCCCCAACTGGAAATGGAGGGCAAATTGGGGCCTTCGGGTTGGGTTGGGGTGGTTTGGTGGGTGGTGACGTTCTGGTAGGGGCCGACGCTGTCGCAGCCCGAGTCGTCGCCTTCGACGTCGGCCTCGGAAGAATGCGCGGCGGTGACGATGGAATCCACGAGCGGCTCGGCATCGGCGCCGTCGGCCTCCCGGAGAGAGCCGTCAGACGGAGGGCAGATCTCCGCAACGTCGGCCACGACGGGGGCGCCTCCCGAGGAGAGGGGCGCTTCTCGAGGAGACGGGGGCGACCCCTCGAGGAGAGGGGACGCTTCTCGAGGAGAGGGATGACCGACGCGTCGCGGCCAGCAGGCCGGCGCGGCCAACAGGCCGGCGCTGCGCGGGGGGCCGCGCGGGCCGCGGGCCCGCGCGGGCCCCGCGCCGGGGCTCCTCGCGGCGCAGGCCTCGGCGTCGGACCGCGCGTCGGGCACGTGGCCCTGCAGCAGGCCGAGCTGCACACCGAGGCCCTCGAGGAGCCGGCCCGCGAGGAACGGCTGCCCCTCCGGAGAGGCGCCGTGCACGGCGCCGAGCCCGCCGGCGAGGATGCCGCCGTCGTAACCGCCGACGGTGCCGCCCGTGGCGTCGACCGCAAACTGGATGCGCGTGGCGCCCGCAAGGTCGCCGCCCGGGCGTATGCCTGCCTCGGGCCCGTCGAGGGAGGCAGCACTCGCCCGCGCGGCGGGGGCGGGGGCAAGCCGCTCCAGAGAAGGCGCCCAGCCGAGGCCCAGCGGCGGCCTCCCGCGAGGCGCGCAGGCCGACGCCCGCGCGAGGCCGTCCGACGGGGCCTCGGCCGCGTGCCGCGTGCGGCGTTCCGGCGAGCGCGGGCCGCACCGGGGGCGCGCTTGCCCGCGGCTGCCGCTCGCAGCGCAGGCCGCGAGGCGAGCTCCCTGTCCCGCCACGACCCCGGGGCTGCGCCGGCGTCGCCCTGGCCGAGGGCACGGCGGAGGCCCGCCACTGCGAGGGGCCGCCCTCCGCAGCCATGCGGCGCGCGCGAAGCGAAGGGTCGGCCAGCTGGCGTTCGCCAAAGGACGACCCTTGAACCAGCGCGCGCGCAGGCATGAGCCAGAATGGTGACGGAGGAGGAGGAGGAGGTGGAGGTGGAGGTGGAGGAGGAGGAGGAGGAGGACGAGAGACGAGAGAGGAGAGAGGCGAGAAGGGGTGGAGGAGGTGGAGGAGGGAGGAGAGAGGAGGACGGGTCGCCGAAGCCCTTCGGAGAAATCCTCCAGGGGGGGGGGGGGGCCTCCTCTGGGGGGGAGCGGCGAAGCGCAGCGGGCCTCGCCCAGGGCGGCGCAGCGGGCAGCTGCGCCGCGGCAGGCGCGGGCCGCCGGCGCGGCGCGCCACGCGGGAACGAGGCGAGCCCGAGGCGGGAACTCACACAGGACCACCGCCTGGAGGATCGATCCTCGGGGACCTCGCAGGCGGTGGATGTGGATACATTCGGGCCCCCGGGGGCCGAAACATATACCCACATCCACCGCCCGCTGGGGAGGCGGAGGAGGAGGAGGAGGAGGAGGAGGAGGAGGAGGGGGAGGAGGAGGAGGGGAGGAGGAGGAGGAGGAGGAGGGGGGGATCTGGACAGACCCCCGCCTCGAAGCGCGGGCGCTTCGCGCGCGACCCTGCGCGGGCGGCCCTCGCGCGAACGTATCGGCGCAGCGGGCCCCGCTGCTCTGCGCAGGCGCTCGGGGGCCTGCTGTACAGCCACCCCGCTGCGCGCCTCCGCGCCTCCGAGCCGCGCGGCGCGCGCGGCTGCGCCGCCTCCGCGCCCCCGCGTCGCCCCGCCGGAGGCCGTCGCCGCTCTCCACTCCCGGAGGCTGCGACCCGTGAGGCCCGCGCTTTCGGCACCCGAGATGGGTACCGAAGGACTGGGTACAGTCGGGGCGTTGACCTAAGGAACCCTAGACAAGGAACGAGGCCCCTTTTTTCCATGAGTTAAACTTCGATTTCCCATCGAAAGCCTAAGGAAGACCTGAGGCAAGCTGCGAAACACTTAAGGAACGCGGAGCCCCTCCTCAACGAAGAGGGTTCCTTCTTTAGGGCCTCGACTATACGGAAAGAGTGGGCACAATGCCCAACAGCAAATGTTGTCCCAGACCAACAGCGGCCGCTGTTGGGCAGGCGGCCTCCTGTCTCGAATGGACGCAGGCCGCGGCGGCGCGGACGGCGAGTCCTGTTCAGAATGAACAAGAACTGCTGTTGGGCACTGTACCCATTTCTTCCGTACCCCTTTCGGGCGTCCAGATCCCTGCAGGGGGATTCTGGGCGAACAAAGAAAGATATGCCACACATGCTCAAAACAAAACATCAGGAATGGTAAAAAGAACGAAGATCGTCCCCAGACGATGTCTTGACTTTTTTGGGGTACTCCAGATTTCGTAACAAAAGGGAGGGGGTCTGGACCCTCCAAGACAAGCCATTTCAGACCTCCCCTGTGGGAGAACCCTCCAAAACATCGTCCCCAGACCCCCCAGGCCCTCCAAGATGGCCTGGGAGAGACCCCCTCCCGAAATGAGACCCCCCTCCCTTACTTACGAAATCTGGAGTAGTCCTCCTGCAGAGGGGCAGGCCCGACTTCAACGTGGGGTGCACCCGAGGGCGTCCAGGATCGGGGGCGCGCGCAGATGGATGAGCGATCCCGGGATGTGGCGCGCGGCCGCCGAATCCATGGACTCGCCATCGCTCGGACGTCCACTCCCTGAGCTTTTTTCGGTCTCGTGCGTGTTTGTTTCGTTTTTTCGGCCTCGTGCGCGGTTTTTCCGCCAAATGATCAAGGATGCTCCTCGATGGTCTTCGCCGAAGGAAAAAAGCACACGTCCGAGCGATGCCAAGTGGATCGGGGGAGGTGCCCTCACCAAAATGTGGCCGGTGCCGCCTCGCTCGGCGGCGGAAGTCCGCGATTTCCCGTGGAAACGGGACCCGTCGCCAATCCACGCCCCCCTGATCCATGTTTGCAATCGCCTGAATAAGGGGGGCGTCCAGGAGGGGGGCTCGCAAATCATGACCCGAGAAATGTGTGCGGACCAATGGGGTCCAAAGGGGCGTATTGAAACGAACAGAGGCACCATGAAATCAGGGAAGATACCATGGCCGCAGCCATGATCCCCCTAGTCATCCCCCCTTCTAATGCACATCGGGTCCTTGGGCAGACACATACGCTGCAAGACTGTCCCAGTACTGCTCAAAAACCAACAGGATGCCCGCCCAGGCGGTCTGGGCGGAGTCCTGAGGGGAGTCCTGGGGGGCCCCCAAGGGGTGGGGGTCCCAGGGAGCACCCCTCCCTGGGAGAAGCTGTCGGTTCCTGAGCGCCAGAGTCGTTGTCGTCGTCGTCGTCGTCGTCGCCGTCGTCGTCGTTCCCCTTCAGGGTCGGTAGCACTGGCCGCATGGCTTTCGCAATACTGCTGTGTGTTGTTTTTCCACAACGGTCTGTTGGGAAACCGCGGTCTTGTGGGAAAGGAGGGGGCAACGGGGATGCGCAATCAACGACAGTTTCCCCACTCGTGGAAATGATCAGCCTAGAGGCCCAGCAAATGTGCCGATACGCGAACGCATCGCCAGGAGGAGGACGGGAAGAGCAATAGAGGATGTATCGTCAGAAAGAGGACCTATCGTCAGGAGGAGGATGGGAAGAGCAATGGAGGACGTATCGCCAGAAGGAGGACGCATCGGCAGGAGGATGGGAAGAGCAATGTAGGACGAATCGCCGGACCCAGACCCTAGACGTCATGATTTTTTCATAACGTCGACCCCCAAAAAACTCGGCCCACTCCCCGGGACTGGTTTTTCATCCTGAGTCGTTTTTTGACGGTCCCAAAGCCCGGCGAGGGCCCCCAGAGGCAGAATATGACGGAAAACCTTGCCGTCGAGATTTTGTTCATGACTCGAGGGGGTCTGGGGTAGGACGACGTATCGCCAGAAGGAGGACGTCTCGCAACACTACCGAAGATAGAAGCCTCCTAGATGGGGTCCGAGTAAACGGGGTCGAAGGATCGCGCCGCATCGGCGATGCATCGGCGATGCATCGGCGACGTCGGCAGTGCATCGGCGACGCCGGCGTGGAGAAAACCGAGATCCACATCGAGCCGCATCGGCGATGCATCGGCGATGTGGCGCGATCCTCCGTCCTATCCACTCGGACTGGAGGAGAGGCTGCGGGCTGCGGTGAAGAACGACGACGACGACGAAGAACGACGACGACGACGACGTCGACGACGACGACGACGACGACGAACGAACGAACGGGCGACGAAGAACGACGACGACGAAGATCGACGACGACGACGACGAACGACGACGACGACGACGACGGACGACGACGACGACGACGACGACGACGACGACGACGACGACGACGCCAAGGCCTCCTCGCCGCACGCGCCGCCCCGCTCCGCTGGCCGCCCAGCGGCGGCCGGGGTCTGCCCGGCACCCCTCGGCGGGCGCGCCAGGGGCCTCGGGCCGGGCGAAGCTGTCTGCTGGAGGTTCGGGTCGGGCGAAAGGGGGGCATAGCAAAGGGGGGGTTTGAGAATCAGCTCACGCAGCTGATTTTCCCGGCGCCTCCCGGCGCCGGAGGCGGCGACGTATCGAGGAATGGGCCCCTAGGTGAGGCCGAAACCGGCTGCATGCAGCAAATTTCGTACCCCCCTTTCCCAATCCCCCCCTTTCGTCCGGCTCGAGAGGTTCTTAGGGGGGCGGAGGTGACGTCGGGCATGTTCTCCTACGGGCGGGTTTTAGAGGAAACGTGGAGCATCGGTAACGAAAAGGTTCAAACCTAGCCAGCACATCTGCGACAAATCGTCCCCTGACTATGTTTTTTACCAGTTTGGAGTATTCCTCCTGACGAGGGCCATGCCCGACTTAAGGCGAAGACCCAGACATCCGTCGAGATGATTTTTTCAAGCTGCGGCCCCAGAAAAATCGCCCCCTTCCCTGGGGGTGGTTTTTCGCCCCGGATCCGTCTCTGATTGAAGGGGCCCAAGGACACACAAATGAATACACACACAAATAAACATATTCCCCATATCTTCCCATATCTTCTGGGTCTTCGTCTTCCCCCCCACTGCCCATATTTTCCCATATCTTCCTGGGGATCGACGATTAGAATTGTGTCTGTGTGTTTTTTCCCCTCCTGACTGGTGGTGCCCAGGAGGCCGGAGAACGGGCCCCGCAGAGGCCGAAAAATCCAGGAGAAAAATCGCCGGACTGCACAGGTTAGGCGGGGCGAACAGGGCCATCCAGAAGGTGGGCCGTCGAAAGGGTGCATGGAACGGCTTTCGGGGAGGCGTTCCAAGATTTCTGGAACGCCTTTCCGCCCAGCGTTCGGAGCAGTTCGGTCGCCTCGGCCCACGGCCCGCTACCGCGTCGACATGGAGACACCTCGAAGCGGGATCAGGCCGCACGAGTGAAGCCAAATTGTCTGCGAGGGGCAGCCTTGGAATTGCTGTTCTGCCACCCTCTCTCCTTCTCGTCCTAGGTGTGCCCGTCGACCGCCGCGCCCTTTCTGTGGCGCCGAAGTGGCCACTTCGCCTGGTCTGCCCCGTGCACGCTCCCGTGCTGGCCCTCCCCCTGCCTCCGCCCACCGCGCAGCCCCTTGCCCCCTCCGCCGCCACCTCCCCTTTTCTCCCTTCACTCCCCTTTTCGCCCCGCGTCGTCGTCGTCGTCGTCGTCGTCGTCGTCGTCGCCCCGCGTCCCACACCAGTGTCGTTCAGCGCCTCACTGATGCTAGCCCGCTACTTACATCTGCCAACCGCGCCCATTTTCTCTCGCACTCTGCCTCCCTCATCCCTCCCCCCCCCCTCCCCCTCCCTTCCCCCAGCTCCCCTGTCCTATTTCGCCTTCCCCCGTCCCCTTCCCCTTCCCTCCCTCCATTTGCCCCTTTCTTCCAACCTCGTGCTCTCCCGCTCCCACCCCTCCCCATTCCCTCCGCCGCCAGCCCTTCCCGAACGCTGTTCCGGGAAGGCGCGCAGCCCTTCCCGAACGCTGTTCCGCGGAGGCCGAATGCAGGCCCCAAGTGGGCCATCCGTCCGGCTGATGCTCCGAGGCCCCAAGTGGGCCATCCACCCGGCTCCTGGAGGCCGCCCCCCCCGAGGCCCCAAGTGGGCCATCCATCCGGCTCATGCACGCCCCCGACCCTCGCACGCCCTGCGCGCAACCCCCTCGCCGCCCCCAGGCCCCAAGTGGGCCATCCACCCGGCTCATGGAACATCACACCGGGGCACCCAGTACCCCTGCACTGGTCCAGGGCCCCAAGTGGGCCATCCGTCCGGCTGATGCTCCGAGGCCCCAAGTGGGCCATCCACCCGGCTCATGGAACCCCTTCCCAGAGCTCCCTCGGAAAGGCGTTCCGCGCCTCGGGGGAAGGGTACTCGCGCGCCTGGCCGCCTTGGCTCCCGCGACCCAGGGCGCCCTTGCACCGATCCCAAACCACCCCGCCTCTCCCTCCCCTTCTCCTGCTCCCATGCCTCCCTCCATCCCTCCCTCCCGCCAGCATTCCTGCCCTCTCGCCCCGCACCTCGTCGTCCCTTTTCTCCCTTTTCGCCCCGCGTCGTCGTCGTCCTCCTCCTCCTCCTCCTCCTCCTCCTCACATGTCCTCATCCTTCCGCCCCCCCTCCTTCCTCCTCCATCATCCTCCGCAATCCTGCTCCCGCCCTCCTCCCTCATCGTCCTCCATGCTCATCCTTATGAACCTCCTTTTCCTCCTCCTCCCTCATTCATCCCATTATCACCTCTCCCTCCTCCTCCTTCTCCTCCTTCTCCTCCTCCTCCCCTCCTCCTCCCCCTTTTTTTGACAACCCAACGTCGAGGCGAGTGCACCGCGTCTAGAAGGGCAGCAGTACAGGTGTGGAGGACACTGAGAAAACATGAAGGGAGAAGAGATCGAAAGCCAGTGGGACCATTAAATACGCAAGAGAAGTGGAGACAGTCGAGAGGGCCCAGGGCTGTCTAGCTGGCAGGAGCTGATTCAAAGATGGTTGAGGGACGAGGTGAAAGTGGACGGCCGAGCCATCCGCAATCCCAGCTGTGATTTCTCGCACCACCGCGCTTCCATCCACCCGATGAACGGCCCACTTGTTCATCCACCCCCTGGATGGCCCAGTTCGCCCCCTCCAAACAGGAGATGTCCGTGATATATCCTCGGAGCTTTGGGGGGCCCTGCCCTCCTCCTCCTCCTCCTCCTCCTCCTCCTCCTGCTCCTGCTCCTCCTCCTGCTCCTCCTCCTGCTCCTGCTCCTGCTCCTGCTCCTGCTCCTCCTCCTCCTCCTCCTCCTCCTCCTGCTCCTGCTCCTCCTCCTCCTGCTCCTCCTCCTCCTCCTTCTCCTCCTCCTCCTCCTCTCCATTCCCTGTGTGTGTGTGTGTGTTTTAGGCTTCGTGCGTGGTTTTTTCCGCCAAAGGATCAAGGATGCTCCTCGATGGCCCTCGCCGAGGGAAAAGTGCACACGTCCGAGCGATGCCAAGGGACGCTCTACTCCCTGAGATCCTGGTGCTGCAACCTTTTTCGCCCTGAGCGTCCTCGCCCGACGTCGGGCCCTGGGGCCCTCACAAATCGATCTGGCCCGAACACTGACGCAGACAGATGGGGGGTCCGAGGCTCCGGTCATGGTTCTTCACGACGTCGCATTTTCTCGCAAGGTCGGATCTCAAGGTTGGCGACGCGCACGAGGTAAATATGGGGGGAGGGGGGATGCTTCTTCGAGGGAGCATGCTTCTCAGAAGGCGCGGGCCCTGCATCTAGGAGGCCCGCGGCTTCTCAGGAGCAGGGTGTTGCTGAGAAGCCTTCCCCCTCCCCACGCCCCCCTCTGACGTGGCCGAGTATGATACAAGTGTTCAGCCGTCGGGGGGCGCCTTCCCCAGGGAGAGGACGGACAAAAACGTATACCCCGACGTGCCACCGCGTAAGGGCTTAAGCTTCCCAACCGCCCTCGGGTAGGCGTCCCCAACGGCGGAACAGAAGATTTGCTGCCGCTCTCGCCCCCCACGAGTTCATGAGAGAAGGTGGGTTCGGAGCCCTCGCAGACGAGCAGTTTTAGACCCTTCCCAAACCAGTCACGAAGGGGCGGCATGCTCTTGCCATAAGTCGGACGTCTATTCGGTTTCGTGCGATTGCTTTTTCGCAAGATGATCAGAGAAACTCCTCTCGCTATTTGTTTACATCCCCTTAAGGTCTGGACCCCTTCCCTGGGACATTTATGTCTTCCAGACTTGTTTTAACGGTCCCGGGGCCGGTGAAGGTCCCTGAGACCTAAGGAACACCGTCCGTCATGATTTCGTTCACGTTCGAAACCCTCGAACCACCTACCCATTGGCCAATCCCCCCCGCATTGCCCCTCGGTAGCGACATCCCTCCAAGGCCCCCAAACCGTGTGGTGACGGACCGCGCGGTGACCTCGGAGTCCCCAGCGATCTCACCGCGCAGTCCGTCACCCGTACGGTTTTGAGACCTCGGATCCTCAGTCGCCCAAGACGTCTTCGGAGAACGACCCGAGTGCAAAAAACGTACGGTGACCCCGAATCCCCACCGACCCACCACGCGGCGTGGTCACACCGTTTGGGGGCCCCTGGCTTTCGCGGCGTAACTCGGCTCCCCCGACAGCCGTTCGAGACGACTCTGGCACCCCCGGGGCGCCCTCGGCTAGGCGCAGCTGATCGAAGCCGCCCCTGGCGTTGGAGACTCCCGAAAACGCCCTGACGCTCCAGAAAACAAGACACAACTGCTGGGCCGCCCGAACCGACGCTCCCGCCTCTCATCTCCCCCTTCCACGGTGCGGACCTTCGCTCCGCTGCTGAAGGATAGGGGCGATCATAGTAGGGGGAAAACAAACCTACCTCGCTTTTGACCACCCTCGCTTCCAAGAGATACCAAACGATGCCAAATTGCAGCCTGTACTGGTCAGGCCGCTTGACGAGGAGGCGCGTGGTATGGCCTGTCTCTGCCTGGAAGCGAAAGCGGGGTAGGTAATTCACGCTCTGACATAGGCAAGGTGGGAACAAAGAAACGCGACACCACCGCCACCGCCAGGGACCACGAGCGGGAGAAGCCCCAGGAGTCCCCCTCGCGGTGTGCCCCGACCCCCTCTCGTTCGAGAGAGCCCCCGCGCCCAGCTCGGGGGGGGGGGGGGGATCGTGGACCTCCTCGCTGGAGGTGCCCCCCCTGGTCGTGGTTGTGGTGGCGTCGCTCCTCCTTCACCCGAAAGGAAAGGAAGCACAAGCCGCATCGACGTGTAGCCTCGACAGCCCGCACAGGTGTCTTGGATCTGCGCTGCTCTCGCCCTCCCCTGGCGCGCTGCCGGCGCCAGGGGCGGCGCCGGCAGCGCCACAGGGAGCTTCCAGCGCAGATCCAAGATATCCGCGCGGACCTGCTGCTCAGCCTCTCCCTCTTCTTCGCACGAGGGGCACGTAGGAGAGAGAGGTGGGATGCGTGAGTGAACATCAGACCGAACAGAAACATGATAACAAACAATGCAACACAGGGGAGCCAGGCCTGGCCTGCCTAGACAGGGAGAGAGAGGGAGAGAAAGAGAGATGGAGAGAGAGAGAGAGAGAGAAAGAGAGAGAGAAAGAGAAAGAGCGAGAGAGAGAGAGAGGAGGGAGGGAGGAGAGGTGCTTTGGAGGCGGTCGGGGGCCCTGAGCTGGTTGGGACCCTAGAAGATCGGCCAAAAGGTGTTTCACCCTGGATTCGTGTTTGACTTCCCCGCAGCCCGAACACAGCCGCTGGAAGCCGCAGCAAGCAAGCACCTTCCCGACCCCAGCGCCTCGAACCTGCCCGCCCTCCCTGGCCCAAGGTGCCCCCACCTTTTCGCTCATCTTGGAGCCCCTGGGGCCCCTTGGACCTCGAGAGTGGTGCTGGGGACGCTGTGGGTGCCACCACGGGAATCCTGGGGGCACCTTTTGAGAAGGGACCGACTGCCCCGACATTCCTGTAGTCACTACCACGGCACGCTCTCAGAACAAGAGGAAGTTCTAGTATCAACAATGCTCTTATAACAGAAAGCCGATGTGGTAAAACAGTACGGTTTCAGACAAACGTGTTCTGAGAACATGTCATGCAACTCACAGAAAAGGTTCTCAAAGACTTTTTGGGGCGGCCTTATAGGCAACGCAGGGCGCTTCGCCACTGCTTAAATCTTGGGCCAAGGGCACTTCTATAATAAGAAAAACGCGAGTATCATAAACATGTTGCGCTCCGCGTCGATCTCTTGGATCTGCGCTTGGCCCCCCCCTGGCGGCGCCTCCAGCGCGGATCCAAGAGATTATGTCGTGTTTTCTTCTTCGACGATGCGCAATCCAGGAGGGCGCTTCGCCACTGCTCGAACCTTGGGCCAGGGGCAATTCTAGATTCTAGTAACACCCGACCCAAGACCCCAGACGTCATGATTTTTCACAACATCGAACCCCAAAAAACTCTGCCCATTCCCCGGGACCCGTTCTTCATCCTGAATTGTTTTTTGACAGTCCCGAGGCCCGGCGAGGGCCCCCGGAGGCAGAAAATTAAAAAAAACATGCCAGCGTCGGCGTCTGTGAAGGGGCCCTGGGACACACAAATAAATAGAAACAAACAACATGAATCTTCATACTTTCCCATATTCTCTGAGTTCTTGCCTTCCGCCCCACTTCCCATATGTTCCTATATTCTTGGGAATCGACGATTCATTGTGTCTGTGTTTTTTCTTGGCGGCGCGCACAAGGGGGTGGAGGGAGGGGGGAGGGCTTCTTAGAAGGAGGCTGCTTCTTAGAAGGCGCCGGCCTCACATCTATAGATAAGGCCCGCGCCTTCTAAGAAGCAGGGGCGCTTCTCTAAGAAGCCCTCCCCCCTCCCCTCACCCCCCTCTGACTACCTACCAGACCACCCCAACCCAACCCGAAGACCCGAATTTCGGGTTGGGGGGGGGGTAAGGGTTCCACATGTGTGTTCTCGATGTTTCCCGACCCCCCCCCACTGGAAATCGAGGGTAAATCTGAGCCTTCGGCTTGGGTTGGGGTGGTTTGGTGGGTGGTGACCCTCTGCGCGTGGCTGATTTTCCCCTCCCGAGTCCGGGACCCCTGCCCTCGCCTCACCCCCCTCTGCTCGGGAGCGGCCAAGAGGGGGGTGTCCAAGAGGGGGGGGGGGTGCAAATCGTGACCGGCGGCATGTGCGCCCCCGCGGGGGGGCCAGGGACGTCATGAAATAAGAAGGGGCGCCATGATATCTGGGGAAATATCATGGCCCCCGCCATGATATCCACCCCCCCGTAATCATCACCCCCCTCTTTGCCGCCCCCGATGGGGTCAGGCCGGGCATGTCCTCCCACAGCGGGATTTTGACGGAAAAGTGAAAGATGGTCCAAAAATGCTCGAAGATGGTCAGTCAAAGAGAATCCAAAAATCGTGCCCAGACTATGTGTCTTGACTGTTTTTGAATGTTCCTCCTGTAGAGGGACCCCCCTCTTTTCCGCCCCCGATCTGCGCGTGGCTGATTTTCCCCTCCCGAGTCCGGCACCCCTGCCCGCGCGGAGGAGCCGCGCCTCGGGGCCGCCGGCGCCGCGGGCGCGTGGGCGGCACCGGCGGGCGCCGCTGCCGAGTAGTAGCGCCTGCCGCGCGCTCGCGGGGGGCCGGCGCCGGGCGTGGGCGGTCGGCCCCCGCGCCATGGGGAGCTCGGCGGGTGGAGGATACTGCAGGTCTGCAGGGCAGTTTTTAATACATGGGATGTTTAAACATATCGGATTTGTCATACGTGATCAATTTTAGGAATAAATTTATGCACGAACTCATCGTTGTTTTTGACACTGATCCCTGCATTTTTAATACATGATCCGCACGCGGAGCATGTATTCAAAACGGCACTGTACGCTGGATCATCGGATCGCGAAATCGGATCGGATCGAAAAGCGGATCGAATCGCCAGCGGATCGTCCCGAATCAGATGGCCACCGAATCGCCGCGCCCCGCGTCCGGCATCGAAGTGGAATCGCGGCCCCAGCCAGCGAACCGAATCGCATCGAATCGGATCGTAGGCGGCCCTGTTCTGTGGCAGCTCACGGGAGCCTCCCTTCAAGACGAAGCCAGGGCGAAGATGAAATCGGGTGAGGACAACTAAGGAATCTCTGCGTTCCGTCGGCTCTGGAAGACGTCTCGGGCGCCGCGGCCTTCTCAAAACGTTCCGGAACGCTCTGAGAGCGTTCAGGAAAGCTCTGGAACGGATCAATCCTCGTCCTAACACTGTCCCGAAAGGGTAGAATAGCAACGGGCAGAGTAGACAATCAACTCATGTGGCTGGTCCTCACGGCGCCTCCCAGCGCCAGGAAGGCGCCCATATGGTATCGCGAAATGGGCCCGGCGGCGGGGCCGAAACAGCTGCACGCAGCAAATGTCGTACCCCAAATCACTTATTGATCGTCCCCCGGGTCCGGTTTTCTAAGGTGCCTTTTTTGTAACTGGGGGGGGGATTCATTAGGGCGCTTTCTTTGGATTGGAGCTTAGGGGGTCCAATATATTAAGGCGCCCCGTCGAAGGGGGGGGTCAGGAATAATAGGTCGCACTTGGAGGGGGGTCCGGTATTTTAGGGGGGGTCGATTAATAAAGGATTCGGGGTATCCCCCCTTGCCCTACGTATCCGACCCTTTCGTCCAGCCCAATCGTCGGCCCCCACCTCCTGAGGAGCCTTGCCGGGTCGGCCCCCGCGTCTGGGGCGCTCTCTTCGGATGGAGGCTATTCACGTCGGACTTACGTCGGAGCATCGCCGCGCGAAGGGAGCGGACATGCGGACTAGATTCACGAGCGACGAACATGTCCACATCCATGCCCTCGCGGTCTGGATTCCGAAGCGCCTCCTGGGAACCTCCCGTGCCATCCTGCTGGCTCTTACGAACCGGCGCAAGCCGACGACGATATCGACGCCGAGTCGGCGCTGGTCGGCGCCACACCGAAGCGCATCGACGCTGAGTCGGCGCTTCCTCCTCGATTGCCAGACGCTAGCGCACGCTAACACACTCCAACCAGGAACAAGGAAAGGCGACACCAACACCACCAGGGCGAGGAGATGCGAGGAGGCAAGGGGGCTCTCCCTGGTGGTGTGGTCCCCCCTCTCGCTCAAGACATCCCCAGACTCCAGCTTGGGGAGGCATCGTGGACCTCCTCGCTGGAGGTGGGCCCCCTGGTGGTGCTGGTGTCGCTTCTCCTCCCTCCGACCAAAGAACGGAGTCGCGAAGACCTGCGGAGCTCCGACGATCTGCGACCAGACCGCCGCCCGTGCGTGGGCGGGCCGCCTCCCCGGCTTCGGGCGCTCGTCGGGCGCAGGAGGAGGAGGAGGAGGAGGAGGAGGAGGAGGAGGAGGAGGAGGAGGAGGAGGAGGAGGAGGAGGAGGAGGAGGATCGAAGGAGAGAAACCAGCACAAGCCTGAGGTTTCGGAGATCCGCATGAATCTCGTGGATCGGCGCTGGACCCTCCTGGCGGCGCCCCCGCGAGGAGGTCAGGGGAGGACGGAACCAGGAGGTCCCGCCTGGCGGCACCAATCTCTCGGGAGGGAGAGGGAGTAGCAACGTCACGCTGCCGATGGTCGCCCGTCAGTGTGGTCTACCCCTTTCTGTTCTTGTCCGAATGCCTGGTGTTTGTTCGACAATAGCACGCTGATGGGTTCGCCTCGGCGGCGTGTCATGGATACTCTTTCTGCTGCCCGGCTCTCAGGGGCGCGCACAAGGGGCGGCACTCCAAGAAGGGCCGGTGGGGCCTTCAGAAGATGTGGGCTTCTAAGAGAGCTTCCTAGAGAGATACCTGCCGAAGTCTCAGCGTTCAGCCGAATTGCTCAGGGTGCGGAGGCGCTGGCAGAAACAGGCGCCTCAGCTGGCGGGCGGTGCAGACATGGCCATAGGCAAGGAACGGGAGCGGCAGAGGCAGGCGGAAAGGTCGCTTCCTTTCTTTCTCCCTCACCTCCCCCTCCCCTCCAATACAACGTTCTACGACGACGGCGGCGACGGCGGCGGCGGACGACGACGCACTGCGGATGCTCCATGCGGGGGGGGGCGGGACGACGGCGACAACGACGACGACGACGACGAAGTTGACGACGACGACGACGACGACGACGACGACGACGACGACGACGACGCGACGGCGACGGCGGCGGCGGCGGCGACGACGACGCACTGCGGATGCCCGATGGGGGGAGGGGGGTGCTGGGTGCTGCGCATGCCCGCGTGGTCGACGACGACGACGACGACGAGTACGACGACGACGACGCACTGCGGATGCCCGGTGGGGGGATGCAGGTCCTTTGCAGTGGACTGACAACGACGACGACGACGACGACGACGACGACGACGACGACGACTGCGGCACACCAGCCTGAGAGGGGGAACATCTGCGCCTCGGATATGTACGATCCCTATAACAACTTCTATACGACAAGCAATCGTTCTGAGGCTGCCGTATAGGAGGGGTGCACCGTTCCCTCGGCGGCGCCAACGACGACCCCCTGGCGTGCGTGATTCAAAAAATTGTTTCGCGCCCCGCGGAGTCTATTCATCAGCGGGGGGGGTCGGCAATCATTTGTTAATCACAAGCCGGCATTGCCGATACCGGTACTCCTTGGACCTGTCCCGGGGTGCGTTCGGACCAGAATTTCGAGGCGAATCCAGCGGTGGCGACGAGGGCCTCCAAGGAGGCCGAGACAAAATATGGAAAACAGGCGAATTTCTTAATAAGCGTCGGGGAGGCATCACACCCGCCGACAGCCCCACATCGACCCTCCGTCGCGGGCAGCCACCGCGCGCCGAAGGCGTTCCGACTCCCGTCGCGGCGCGACGACGAGGCGAGGTTGACCCTCCCGTCGGGGTGGTACCCCCCGGGTTGGGCACGTGCTGTCGGAACGGGTGGAGGGGAGTGAGAGGAGGAGGAGGAGGAGGAGGAGAAGGTGGAGGAGGGGGAGGAGGAGGAGGAGCAAGTGGAGGAGGGGGGGGGATGGGCAAGCTCCGCCGGAAGGTTAGTCGCCCACCCCTCGATACATACCCCATCCAGAGCAGGGAGAGTCGCCAACGACTTCTAAACCGCAGCGAACTGCGGAAGATTGAACTAAAAACGCAATGGCCAAGTTCCCATGCCCCTCCTCCTTTCCGCCCCTCGAATGCACTCCTGCTTGCTTTTAGTTTGGCTACTGCCTCTTCGACGTGACCCTCGACCATCCTCCAGGACCCCACCGCCACTCGGGAAGTCGAGGCGCCCGATGGCAAGCCGTCGGAGACTGCGCCGTCGGATCGCTGGCGACTGGCGTGCCAAAAGCCCAACTCAATGTAAACCCAACTATAGACATGTGAGGCATGGCATCGTTTTCAAGACATCTGATTGGGCGACAGGCAATTGCAATGCTGAATGTATCGATCTTGATGTGCCGTGCCAAGGGCTGTGTTGTGCTGCGCTGCGCCGAACTGCGATGTGCCATGCCGCAATTGTGCTCTATAGCGTTGTGGGTCGAGTCCTCTTGTGCATCCGAGTCCTGACCGAACTGATCTGGGTCTTAAGCTCGAGCTGCCCGAGCACATAGTAGCTGCCCCAGAGATAACTGAAGTGGAAACGTGCGGGACGTCCCAGCAACTCGACGTCAAAATCCGACCCGGTTCCGAGAAGGAACGACTCGACACGGGGCATAGGGCTCACGGACGCGCCACAGGATGTTCCAGGGGCAAGGGATGCTGCAGGGGACGTGCCCTGGACGTGTCAGGGACCTGCCATGGGACATGCCAAGACGCGTGCCGGGGGGCGGCCAGAAGCGGTCATGCCAAAGGACGCTGCAAATGGCGCGCCACGGCACGGGCAGGGGAAACGCCTGGGGACGAGCCGGGAAACGCGACAGAGGACGAGCCAGGGAACGTGCCACGCCGAGTGGCGTGCTAGGGGACGTGCCAAGGCATGTCACGCCAGAACGTCGCAAGGGACGCGCCAGGAGACGCGCCAGCGCGACTGCGAGGCGCTCTACTGCGACAAGCGTTTCGCTCGAGACATCATCAACACATCCGCATGTTAAGCATCCGCCTGGGCGACCTAGACACGTGAAAACAAGCATCTCGCTCGAGACATCCTCAACGAATCCTCATGCTCGACACCTGCCTGGGTGACCTGGGCAAGTGACATCAAGCGTCTCGCTCGAGACGTTCTCGACACCTCCTCATGCTAGACATCTGCCTGGGCACCCTGGACGCATGAAAGCAAGCGCTTCGCTCGAGGCATCCTCAACAAATCCTCATGTTACACATCCGCCTGGGTGACCTGGTCACGTGAAAACAAGCGTTTCGCTAAACACCTCCTCAACACATCCTCATGCTAGACATCTGCCTGGGCGACCTGGACGCGTGAAAACAAGCGTTTCGCTCAAGACATCCTCAACACACCTTCATGTTACCTGTCCGCGACCTGGCCACGTGAAAACAAGCGCTTCGCTAAACACCTCCTCGACACATCCTCATGCCAGACATCCGCCTGGGCGACCTGGACAAGTGAAAACAAGCGGTTCGCTCGAGACATCCTCAATACATCTTCATGTTAGACATTCGCCAGGGCGACCTGGGCAAGTGAAAACAAGCGTTTCGCTCGAGACGGTCTCAACACATCGTCATGCTAGACATCTGCCTGGGCGACCTGGACACGTGACACCGAGCGTATCGCTCGAGACATCCTCAACAAATCCTCATACTCGACATCTGTCTGGGCGACCTGGACACGTGAAGACAAGCGTCTCGCTCGAGACATTCTCAACAAATCCGCTAGACATCTGCCTGGGCAACCTGGACGCGTGAACCCAGGCGCCTCTCACGAGACAACCTCAAGACCTGGGCACGTGACAGCAAGCATTTCACCTGAGACATCCTTTGAATTCTGGCCCCCAGGACACGAACAATCTCTAACACACAACAAGCGTTTCCCTCGAGACATCCTCAAGACATTCTGCAACACAAGCGTGCCCCTCGAGACTTCCGCATCAGACGAAGACATGCACTCCACCATATGTTTCACCGGTGGGAGTTTCAAAACCCAGCGGCTGGCTCGGGACATCCTCAACTTTGGCTTCCGTGAATTGTCGCAAAATCAATTCGCTGGCCTCCTTCGAATCGAAACGGGGGGCAACAAAACTAAAAGAGGGCCCTGACCCCAGCCCTTTCCGGCAACAAAAAACCCGCCACGACGCGCGATCACAACACCGCTGCCAAGCCGCAACGGCATCCCGTCTCATTTCTTGGTCGTGTCCCGGACGTTGTCCTGATTGGAGAGAAGACGGAACTTCGGGACCCCGGCCGGGTACCCCCTGCTGATCTTCTCCGTGATGCTCTGCAGAGTCGTGAGCTGCATCGGCGCCTCTGCAGAGAAGGGGGAGGAGGAGGA